TTGGGGTTCGGAAGTTGCAGGAATAGTTGGGGTTGATGTCGAACTGGTGGAGTTAATTTGTGGTTCGGAAGTAGCAGGAATAGTTGGGGTTTGGTTGGTTTGGGATTCAGTGCTTGCAGGAATGAAGGCCGTTGAAGTCTGGTTGGTGGAGTTAGTTTTGGGTTCGGAACTTGCAGGAATAGTTGGTGTTGATGTCATAATGATGGAGTTATATTGGGGCTCAGAAGTAGCAGGAATAGTTGTCAATGGGTTGGTTGTGTATGTTTGGGGTTTAGTAGTTGCAGGAATAGTTGCGGTTGATGTCATAGTGGTGGAGTTAGTTTTGGGTTCAGAAGTTGCAGGAATAGTTTGGGTTGATGTCGTAGTGGTGGAGTTAGTTTGGGGTTTGGAAGTTGAAAGAATGGCTGGGGTAGATGTCGTAGTGGTGAAGTTAGTTGTGATTTGGGAAGTTGTACCGGTTGATGTTTCTGTAGTTGTAGGTTTAGTGGCAAAACTGTGGAAAACAGTAGTTAAAGGAATTCTTGTTGTGGTAGCTACATGGCCAGATGTAGTGGCAGTTTGAGACGTAGCAGGAACTGTTGTATGCAAATTAACACCTCCTAAAGCACCTCCTAAAGTACCTCCTAAAGCACCTCCTAAAGCACCTAAAGCACCTCCTAAAGCCCGTCCTAAAGCACCGAAAAAACCACCTAAAGCACCGAAAAAACCACCTAAAGCACCGAAAAAACCACCTATACCACCTCCTCCTCCACCATCTCCTCCTTCACCACCCTTGTTATCATCGGGATTATCTTTATTTGTAGTTGTTGTTGTTGTCTTTGTCGTTGTTGTGGTGGTGGCTGTTTTTGTGGTTATAGGGACTGTTGTTGTTTTGTCTGTAGTTGTAGATAAAGTGGTGCTCAAGGTGGTAGAGACGGTGGAAGAGGGAAAGCTAGGTGTGGTGGTGGGAGGGGCAGATGTGGTTGAAGTTTGGGGAAGACATGGGCAAAAAGAAGAAGAAGCAGAAATACCTCTTCTCCTTCTTCTACTTTGTTCTTCTTGTAGGGCATGTTCACGAAGAGGACACTGTGTTCCAGGAAACACCTCAAATCCCAGTTGCTCATGAAGTTCGGCCAAAGTCTTTGGCTCAAGGTTTCTGGAATGTTCTCCTGGAACATTGTCGCCCCAGTATGCAGCTGCCAGCCACTTGTCCTTTGTGTGATTGTAACAGCAGAATGCTGACCAGAGAAGGGATGGTATATTCACCCTTTCTTTGAGTTGGGTGTTGCCGGGCTTTGCCCCGGTCACTACAAAGCCTTCGAGGAGATTAAAACTGTTGATGCAGTGTTTGTTCAGGAAGCATTGGACACATCTTTCCATTTCTGCCCAGCTGCCACCATTGAAATTCTTCACTTGTGGAACAATGTTTGTCAAGGTGAATGTGGAGTCTCTGTCTTCTTTATCAAATCCATAACTGTTTGGAAATAAATGGCCCCTATTATATGGATCACTGAACAAATAATCAGAGTTACTGGCCTGGTTTTTTTTTTGGTTTCGTTTTTTATCGTTCCTCATGTTGATGGCGTTTGTCTTCCGCTCGAGCTGCAAAAGTTAGAAGGCTCAGTCAGCGGTATTTATTTTGTGCTTTTAAAATAAACTTGTTGGAAGTAATTTGATAACTCAAACTGAAGTGATTACATAAGACATTTTACTTTTGGATGTTGTTCACCTAATATGAATAAAGCAATGGCGAAATATAATTGCCATTACCGACAGAAGCTCTCTTCAGAAGCAGAGGAGCATTGTTGTACTGAACTAAAGTTAATAAATAACATTGGTCCGACCCATACGGCATCTCTGCTGATGTTGGCTGCCTCTCCATCGTTTCCATTTTGCTATAAAACTATAAAATGTAAAACCAAGGTTCTTTGTCTTGTTTTTTCATTGGTCATATGAGTGGCAGTTACAGCCAAGGACACAAACAGTGCCCACATTAAAAAAGTTCAATTCAAAAAGTGACGCTACTTTGCTCACCATAATGGAGAGAGAGTCAATGGGTTACGGTCGCTTGTATCCCCCAAAGATGGCTGACTTGCTGTTGATGGCGTCATATTCCCATTATCTATTGCTCTCACGCTATAAACACTTTTCTTAATCAACCTGTCAGTTGCTGATGAGGTTGCTGTCTCTCTCTTAAAGTGTAAAAACTGGTGGACGGAGTTTAACGCCATTGAATAGTCGAAAGTTGAATAATGTTTGAGTCAGAGAAAGATAAACAAACCTGTGGCTCCATCCTCCAAAGTGGTCTGTTACTCTTTGTTCCATCTGTCCCTCTGTATTTGAAAGCAGAAAACACTGGTATCTTGTTGCGGGTGTCGTAGAGCGTCACGAACCGACGCTTGTTCTTGAAGGTCTGGCAAATGACTTTATATCGGTTCTGGTCCAGGATCGTCCCGTCCTGCAAGACGTCGGGGACATTTGGTGTTTTTTCCTCAAGAAGAAACCAAGGACAGTGAGCCATTGAAGTCACCACTTCAGTTAGTGTGGGATGGATGGACAGGAGGATGGTGGCAAAGGGCAGGAGACTCCATCTTTTTAGGGTCACATACTGTGTATTTTTTGGGAGGGGAAAGAGAACAATGCTTTATCAAACATTAGAGTTTGAGATACCAGTTCAAACCAGACCTTTTTGGAGAGGAATCATAATGTTATCTTATAGAGTGGTGAAGTGATGACGTATTCAACAGTGGGGTATTTACTGATTTGACTGATAGCAACCTCTTGAGCTTATTTCAGGACTCATTAGCTGGGTTTCAACTGGTTCCTTTACACCGGGGGTGTCAAACTCAAGGCCCGGTGGCCAAATCCGGCCTGTGAGTTCATTTCCTGTGGCCCCACAACAGCTTGCAAAGAATATTATATGTTTATTATACGGTTACATGATGATTTACAGAAGCGCGTTGCCCATAAACTACATGTCCCACAATGCATCAAATTAGACTTTTTTCTTCTAAATATGCCTTTTTTATTTATTTTTTTATTTATTTGTTTTACTTCTTTTTTTCAATGTCACTTCTTTTTTTTATTCCCAGAATTTGGCTTTTCTTATTAAATCATTTTGTGACATTCTCACTGCAGAAACTTGCAAATATTTGCCCATAGACGTACAGAAACATTGTCAGCAAAAGTTACTGAAAATATTTTCAGTAAAAGTTTGCAGAATCACCCGTTTTGCATCAACATGGGAGCAGCATCGTCTTGATAATTCAAGTTATTTTGCATATTCAGATTTACAAAAAATTTAACAAAATTATCTTAAACTTGCCGTAACTTTCATATAATTTGTATTTGAGATACAAATTACAGCATTTATATTTTTCAGATCTATAATAATTTCATATGTTTATTTTTGCTTTTGTAAAATCGCATAAATCTTGTAAAATATTTCTGGATTTTAGGTTTTCTTTGATAATTGCACTTATTTGAGATATTATGATTATTTTAATAAAACCTTTTAAATAAAACATTTAATAAAATGCATTTAACTTTCACTTTTTTTCATTTTAGTGTACTTACAATTACAATGTTTAGATTTTGCTGAACTATACATTTTTTTATTTTTGAATATTTTATTAGAAAACATATTTAAACCTAAATTAAGGATTAAGGA